ATATATATATATATATATATATATATATATATATATATATATATATATATATATATAACCTAATAATTGCACCACCCATGTAAATTTTATAATAAGCTGTTTAATTGAATATAAATCAATTATTCATATAAAGCTGATCTAATTTCAAGTTATCTTAAAAAAAAATTCAACAATTATTTAAATTTCCTCATTGAATTTAAACACAACATAGAAATACATTATGACCACATCTGCTCCTAGCCACATTATTTCTTACCACATGACCAGTCAGTGGAAGAAAACTGTTTTCCTGTCTCTAGGAACAAGAAACAACGCTGATGCATTTTGACATATGAAAAACAGCTAAATGCTTTATTCAAAGTGGTAGTATTACTGAGAAGATAATTGACTTATTATGATGCATTGTACTGTATGATTTTAGCAATTATTAGTGTTGAATACAAGGATTAAAATATTAAAGGCTCCATTAAAAGGGTGAACCTTTCTTGTCTTTTTTTTGTTTGCTTTTCAGCTTTGATCTCTACTGTAAAATCTGAAACAGAATGCGGTGTTGGATTTAGTTTATCTGAAGACGGATGTGTTGGTATGTAAATAAAACAAACTTTCTAAATGGAACAGATAGTTACATGAGATATGTGTAGCTCTCTAATAAAAATTTGAAATACTACATTGTTGTTTATCATATTCATAGATATCTATTTTTTTGGATAATTTCTCATTCTTCATTTACTCAAAACCTTCTTTCCATTATTTATCATTTTCTTTCTATATGTCTTTATTAGTATAATCGAACATTATTTCATTCTAAAATAATTTTTTCACTATTCTCATTCCTTAACGTAGATGATGATGAATGTGCTCATCCCAGACCAGTTTGTGGCCCGACAGCAAATTGTTTCAACACACATGGCAGTTTCTACTGCCAGTGTAAAGAGGGTGTCAGGTCGCCCTATGAAGCCGTAAATTTAACTTTCCAACAATCTGCAAAATGTCAAGGTAAGTAGTCTTTATTAATAGTGATGATTGATAATATAATTTTTTATAAATCTTTTTTCTTTTCTAATCTGTTTCAACAAAGATATTAATGAATGTATTGACAAAGATCTCTGTGGACCAAATACCGAATGTATCAACACAATTCCCAACTACTATTGTACTTGTAACCAAGGATTTCAGTCTTCTACTGAAGTGAAAACATTTAATCACACTGACAACGTCTCATGCATAGGTAACACATTGACTTCCTGTGCC